GACGCCTTTGTCGGCACCTGGAAGCTAGTGGACAGCAAGAATTTTGATGACTACATGAAGTCACTCGGTGAGTGAACCGCGAGCGCGGAATCCCGGCCCTGGAGGGCCCGCGAGCCCGTCCTGGCGCTGCGTTCCCGCTGGAGTGCCCCGAGCGCCTCCTGCACGCTCCCTGCCAGTCCAGGCTGCAAAGACCCGCGCGCCGGCGTGGCGTGGGCTGCAGCATCCCGGCCTCCTGGGAGGGGGCTGTCGTGGTCCGGACCTGGGGAGTTGGGGAGCTAGGGAGAAGGTGCTCAGGGGAAGCAGGCTGTGGTTGCAGAGGTCCGGGCTGGGTGGCACCCACTTTCTAGGAAGCGAGGTATGTGATCGGAGGGGAGAGATGGGAGTTGAGGGAACGAGTGGAAGGCGGGAGGCTGGCTGCAGCAGAAAGCAAACGGGAGCATGGGTGGTCTAGAAACCGAGTCCGGAAAGGGAATAGAGCAGATGTGAATGCACTGTAGGAGGAAATACTTGAGCAAGACTGAGGAAAATCAGTGAGCTCGATCTGGGAAGAGGTGAAAACAGACCTGGGCAGTCAGCCATGCATAGTCCCTTCCCCTCCATGATGGATAGTGAAGGTGCCCTGGTTCTCCCCAGTGTGTTCACCTGCAATGTGCGCAAACCTCCCCCAATCAGTTTCTGAGACGCTGCTGGTAGAGTAGGGCAAGACCACCACCACACGCGGGCTTTCCTACCGCACCAGTCTCCCACCTGTTCAGTGCCAGGGATAGGGTGAAGAAAGCTGTTCTCTGGGATACAGCAGAGGGTGCCAGAAGCAAGGTCATGCACGGGCTGTGGAGGGGGAGTGCGGTTTGGGGATCAGGAAGAGCAAAGCTCCCTAGAACCTCACTGGTAAGATCTGTGAAAATGGAGCTCCAGGCCTTGCTTGGCTAGAAAAACAACAGCCCAGTGAGAGCAAGCTAATCATCTGATAGGAAAGCCCAGGATTTCTTTTTTCTTTTTGGTTTTTCGAGACAGGATTTCTCTGTATTGCTTTGGAGGCTGTACTGGCACTCGCTCTGGAGACCAGGCTGGCCTTGAACTCACAGAGATCCGCCTGCCTCTGCCTCCCGAGTGCTGGGGTTAAAGACTTGCGACACCAACGCCCGCCCGGCACAAGCCCAGGATTTCTTCAGGATTTCTTTTCGTCACTACTGACGACTGAACTTAGAGTCTTATGCATGCCAGGCAGGCACTGGAACACTGAGTCACACCCCCTCCCCTTTTACTTTGTGTGACAGGGTCTCTCTAACTTACCCAGGTTGGCCTGGAACTTGTAACCTGCTATCCCAGCCTTCTCAGTAGTTGAAAACCCAGAACCACCTAGAGTTCTTCCTACTTCAGCATAGCCAGGGAGTGGGAGACCACCTTTGGGTGCATGGGGAATGTGGTATGACCCACTCCTCCAGGACTGACCCTAGCCGTTCCTTTCTTGCCTTGGTGTAGGTAAAAGCCCTTCCTGTGAAGTGTTTGGCTATATCATCCATGTCAACTAGGATGGGACCCGAAAACTGGGCTGTGTCATGGCTGAGCTAGATTTCGTTCCTTCTTCCGAGGAAGGAGGGCTGGCTTATGACATGTTGAGGGTATATATGCAGGTTCCTCACCTACTTCAGGATGTTAGCTGAAACGGGTCCACAAGGCATTTTTGTCATTTTGGTTTTGGGATTGGAACCCAAGGTCTTGCACATGCTAAGCAAACACCATGACTCTGAGCTTCCACCGAAGCCCGAACTCCCATCAGCACCTACGCTCTCTAGGACAGAAGCTGGGCTTCATTTTTGTTTTGAGACAGGGTCTCACTCTGTAGCCCTAGCCGTCCTGGAGCTCCTTATGTAGACCAGGTCCTTTTGCCTCCCCAGCACTGGGGTTAGAGGCATGCAAGTTGGCCGTTCTTGACAGGGTAGGGAGTACTAAATTGCCCAGGTTTAGTTCCACCTTCCCAAGCCAAATTGCTAACAGCTGGTTTGCTGCTGAGGCCTAACTCACTCAGATACCAGTAGGCAAAGCCTTATCGTACAGAACCAAAGCAGCCCAGCCTAGTATTTGACTGCAGGTACAGATGGTGGCTTTAAGATACTATGGGAATCTATGTCACTAAACGCTGATAATTTTTTCTTTCCTCTGGAAACAGAGTCTTACTGTAGCTCACGTTTTAGAGAGGTACAGCCCAAGGTGGCCTTTAATTCTTGGCATTTCTCCTTGCTTCGGCCTCCTGAGTGAGATTATAAGCAGGTGTCACTAGGCTCAACTTGTTTGACTTTGGATAAGACAGCACAACTCTCTTGGCCTCATTTGTAAATTGCGAGTAATAAAAGCTATGCTTAGGGCTGTTTCAAGCAGTACTTGGCTACCCATGCAGAGTTTGTGCAGTGTACATAGCAAATACACAGGGCCAGGTGAATATTTGGAGGTCCCATGCCGTATCCCTATGTTGGGCTGCCTCCTGCCTCATTGCTGAGGACAGCTCAGCATGTGCTGGGGCCAGGGGACAGGTACTCAACAATGGAAGATTCAAGGGAGCTGCAACCCACGGAGGTGAAGGCTGGGCCTACCGGGTCTGTGTACTTCACCTGCTGTGGACACCTGGGACCTTGCCTAGGACTCAGATCCCATGATTATGTCAGGAGTCTTCTCCCCAGGGACTTCAACTCAATCCCTAAGTTTGTAGGAGACAAAACTCTCCATTGTACTTTTTTTAGCCAGGAGGCCTTGAAGCTACAGCGTTGCTACACAGAGGGTGGAGCACTGATGCCCCCAGTTTCACGATGAAAAATAGACATCCTTGTCCAGAGGACTCTGAAGGCTGTTGGCTTTCTTCTTTCTTCAGTCTTTCGGTCTGAGTGTTCAGGAAGCCAGAAGCAGCAGGGGCTCCTCTCTGGAGGTGACACAGGGCTCAGCAGCTTCAATCTGATTGGTGACCCTGGCCTTAAACTCCATCGCGGTGGTTACATCTACAAACCCTTGTAGGAACAGGACTGAGCCAGGGCCATATAGGTGGTTTGTACCTCTTGGTACCTCACTCTGATTTCCAGTGTTGCTGACATGCCTCGTGTTTCACATCAGCCTAACCGCTGCAGAGCTAAGGAAAAGACTGACTGACTGAGAAAATGGCCACACAAATTCACTGGCCACTATGGTCCTCCTTCCCCATGGTTGTATAATACCTCTTTACCCCAACTAATTTTCAGCCATCTGCCCCTGCCCTTAGGTGTGGGCTTTGCTACCAGACAGGTGGCTAGCATGACCAAGCCCACCACAATCATCGAGAAGAACGGCGATACTATAGTCATAAAGACACACAGCACCTTCAAGAACACAGAGATCAGCTTCCAGCTGGGAGTGCAGTTCGATGAGGTAACAGCAGACGACAGGAAAGTCAAGGTGAGTCTGAGAAGGGGAGGGGAGGTAAGAGGCTGGCCCTTGGCTCTGTACCCCAAGGGGCAGGCTGTCATAGATTTTAGACCAACATGGTTCATGAAGCCTGCTCAGTGCTGGGATGACCTAGGGGCCAAGTACAACCTCTGGTCTGTTTTTTCCTCACCTTCCTGGGAAGGATCTGTCAGCTGCCACTATGGCTCTGCCACAGCAGAGCCAAGATGTTCTGACCTTGTCTCCAGCCCCAGCTGGGTGACCTTGTGCACCAAGGTATGCAGTAGCTCTGAGGACTTCAGCAGCCATGGCTGTGACCTGAAGTGCTTTAGGAGTGATGCCAACAAGTCAGTGCCCTGGATTGAGGTCATCCAGGCTCTGTCAGCAAAGGAGGCAGCTGGGAACAAAAGGCTGAGCTCTATTTACAGGTTTCCTCTTCTGCAGCTCCCAGGCTTGGACACTGACCCTGTCAAACTGTTTCCAGGGCCACCAGCTGACAGCCATGCTCCAGGGCATGCATTCACCAACATGAACGTTGTGGGTGTTTGTAGTCTCCATGTATTTATTTCAGGGTATGGGAGGGAGCACCTACCTCCGGTGTCGCTCAGTTACCTCATGGTGGTTATCTTGGCAGCTTGCTAAAACCTCCCAGCACTGGTCCAGACATAGAACTTAGGGTTGCTGACATCTATATCTATAGGTTATCCCTATACCAGTATCCCCTGCATTGTAAGCCCTAAAACGGATCTCTTCAGCTCTTTCCTCTGCACAGTTGCCTCCATAAAGAACAGGGCAGGTACTGGTCTTGAAGATCCAGAGGAGCTGAAGCCCAACCCAGGACCAACAGCAGGCTAGCAGTGGCACAGAGATGGTGCCCTGAGATGGCAATCAAGATAGGATGGAGGCTTAACTATATCCTTGAACTTGTCACCTTTTTGTGGGACCAGACCCCACATTAAATACAACAGTGGACATCTGGGATGTTTGGGCCAAAAATTAACTGCTGAGTTGACAAAAGACAATGGGGAATGAAGATTCCATAAGGTGGGATATAGACAGAACAAGACATGAGTGATCAAACACAACCATCATCTTTCTAGACTCCTACTCAACAAACCCTGCTTAGTTCCCTAGTTCTGGCCTTCAGCTCCCAAATTCCTGGAGAAGAGAGATCTGGGGAAGCTGCCAAAGACAAACCAGCTGATATAGGCTGGCAGCGCTGAGGCCCAAAGGGGCACTGGAGCCAGAGCTGAAGAACACTCCAAGGACACCTGGTCCTGGGACCTTGCAGTTGCTGCTCTTTTGTCAGTTAAGGGGGTCACGTGATATAAAGGAAGTCTAATTTTCCAATATATTGTAAATGTCTTTTAGACACTGCTATACACACAAGACTAGAAAGATCTTCCAGAGCCGGGCGTTGGTGGCGCATGCCGTTAATCCCAGCACTCGGGAGGCAGAGGCAGGCGGATCTCTGTGAGTTCGAGACCAGCCTGGTCTACAAGAGCTAGTTCCAGGACAGCCTCCAAAGCCACAGAGAAACCCTGTCTCGAAAAACCAAAAAAAAAAAAAAAAAAAAAAAAAAAAAAAAAAAGAAAAGAAAAATTCCTCTTTGGCTGTCTCAGAGAAAGGGATGGACTTGAGGGGACCTGGGACTATACGCTCTCCTGAACTACATCTCAGCCTGAGCTTCTCTTGGAGGCTTGTGCCTCTTCTCAGCCTGTGTTGCACCCACTGCCTGAACCCTCCCCAGTAGGTGTTAGAGGTGGGCTGCCTGAATGGCCGTCCTAGCACTAGCACTAGTTAGGCTCCTGATTGGTTTTGCCCTTCAATTCTGGCTCTGGTCACAGCTTAGGCTTTACCTCTTTCCACAGTCGATCGTGACACTGGATGGAGGCAAACTTGTCCATGTGCAGAAGTGGGACGGGCAGGAGACTACGCTTACAAGGGAGCTATGTGATGGGAAACTCATCCTGGTAAGATGGGCAGTGGCAGTGCCTCACAGCAAGTGCCATGCTTTCTTCAGCCCAGGTCCTCCCCTGGGGGCCAGAGGAGCTGGGACAGAGAAGTGGGGATGGGGATTCACACACACAAGTCTCGATTCAAGTATCAGCCTAAAGGCTGCCTGACTCTGGACATGTCACCTTTGTAACCTTGAGGGCTGCTGGGAAGACTGTACTCGTAGCCAAAAGGCACCATCACTGGGAAGCACTGCAGCAGGTCCCCACAACAGCTTCCTCCTGCCCACTGCTCCCCAAGGGGAAAGCAGGGCCAATTGCTCCCAGGCTCTCTAGGAGCAGCTGCCACTCCATCCTCTCCTGGGTAGGAATGCAGACATCTGCAGGAGGAGTGCCCTCCTTATTCATCCACTTGTCTACTTCTGGCTTCCTGCAAATACCTATGGCCTAGATAGGGGATACAAGCAGGCCTGCAGATCTGCACCCGGACAAGTTTGAGAGTTTCGCCAGGAGAATGTAGCCTTGTAGGACGGCACCTGCAGCACCAGCATGGAGAGCAGTATCAGCACTACAGCTATCTGGCTCAGGGAACCTGCTACTGCATCATAGTCGCATGAACCTGGGGTACCCACTGACTTAGGAGTGAGGTGCCTAGCTTTGGTAGGGAGGTAACAAACAGGACCACATTCACTGGGCAGTTAGACTAAGGTGACTGTGGCTTAGCTCTCCTGAGTCACAATAATGGGTGGTTATGGGAGGGGAAAAAAAAGTAGGTAGGTTTCTTCTTTCAAGGGTCCATTTTCCCAAAAATCTTTAAAATGGGAATTATAACACCTATCTTAAAAGATCTGTATCAGAAAAAAAAAAGTCAGGAGCTGGAGAGATGGCTCAGTGGTTAAGAACAGTGGCTGCTCTTCCAGAGGACCTGGGTTCTATTCCCAGCATCCACATGGCAGCTCACAGCTGTAACTCCAGTACCAGGGGATCTTGTATCCTTACACCAATGCACATAAAATAAAGTTAAATAAAGTAAAAAAGAAAAAAAAAGTCAAGTTCCTGGCACACAACAGGTAATCAAGTGCTGACCAGGATAAAGGTGAGGACACTCCCTCTCTTGCTCTGCCCTGTCCGACCCTGTCTTTTCTTCCAGACACTTACCCATGGCAATGTGGTGAGCACCCGAACTTATGAGAAGGAGGCGTGACGCCACTGCACCTCACTGACTATTCCTCTGCCAGCTGGCTACCCTTCGACTCAGCACCGTGTTGCCTCACTTTTTTCCTCTGGTGTTTTATATAAATACACTTTGGTTGGGATTTTTCTGGAGATTGGGGCACCAGCCTGGATCCCAGTTCCCATTGTGTATGTGGTTTATTTTTTAAAACTGTATCCAAAGGGTGCTCCGAGGTCAATAAAGCAGAGCCAAGGCCACCCAGTTGCTTTTGCCTTTGGTCTTCCTTTCCTGTGTGTCCTAGGCTGAAATGACAGCCTACAGTCTACTCGATAAATAGCGCTGGTAAGGAGCCCAGGTGGACAGTCTCCCACCACCGGTGAGGGCACAGCAGTCCTGTACAATGTCATGGTTGGATGAGCTAGCTAGCTGAGTGACCATTCCACACCCACTCCTGGATTGTTGTGGTCACCCTTGTGGAGTCCAGGGACCACTGTGGTGGGAAGTGACTGCTAACTTCCCATTCATGCCTCAGTGAGCCCCCAAGGTTACATCTTCCTGGTTTTCTAATCAGCCCAGGGAAAGAGGTCTTAACTATGGAAGAGAGGGCTTTTAAGTGATCTTAAGAAAGCTGTGGCTGGATGCTGGTGGCGCACGCCTTTAATCCCAGCACTCGGGAGGCAGAGGCAGGCGGATCTCTGTGAGTTCAAGGCCAGCCTGGTCTCCAGAGCCAATGCCAGGATAGGCTTAAAAGCTACACAGAGAAACCCTGTCTCGAAAAACCAAAAAAAAAAAAAAAAAAAAAAAAAAAAAAAAAAAACAAACTTACAAAAGAAAAGAAAGCTATGACTTGTTAGTGGCCTTGGCTTTGTGCCTCAGCTTGGCTTCTTTTCAGGGTCTTGAACATATTGTTTTCTGTGAACTAATATGTTAAGTATGTAAGTTGCCCAGGAAGGATTATAGGAATAAGACCTTCTGGAAAGTTTAAAACCAAACACATTTCCATTTATGCCAGGAATTTAAGCAAAGACCTGAAATGGAACCAGTCACTCACATGATGATAGACAGAAAGCAGAATAATGACCCTGGCTTCAGATCTCTGGTTCAGCAGTCACTGCAAAGACTTGTCTGCACACAGCCTTCACTTTGAGCACAGGCCCAGGATGAGGGAATGGAGACATGAACAACACTTCTCCCTCCTGCCTCTAATAGAAGCCAGAGTCCACCCACAACTTGTCGCAGACAGCAGACAGGCAGGGGCTGCTCGCTTCGCTCTCCCACCACAACCAGGCTCACCTCCACAGCAGCACCTGTGGCTCTAGCCTGGACCCCTGCAAAGGAATCTAGCTCTGGCAGTGGCAGCCGGGGAAGGTACTAGAACCTTCTGAATGAGTAAAGTGTGTACATGAATGCAATGGCTGCGGGGGTCACTTGCAAAGGGATGAGAAGCAATAAGGAAAAAAACATTTTGGGAGCTGCCCTCTAGCTCCTCTAGCTGCTTGCTGAATGAGAAGCCATCTGAGAGCAGAGGGACATAGTCAGTGGGGCAGGAGGCCATATTCTCACACTGAGTCTTTCCAGGAGCCAGGGCTGCCACGGCCCATCCCACCCTCATTCCTTATGCTTCTTGTGCTTCTTCTTTTTCTTCTTTTTCTTTGTAGCCTTGCTGTCCTTTGATGCATGCCTTGCCTTCTTGCCCATATCACTCTCAGAGTCAGAGCTGTCACAGTCAGATGACTTCTTGTCTCTGTGTTTCTTTTTCTTCTTTTCCTAAAAGGGAAATGTAAAGTTTCAATATACATGCGTCTATCTCCTTTAATATCCAAACCACAGCAGGTGACCAGTAAGTGAGATACAGCTGAGTATGGTGAACAACTACAATCCCAGCACTTCACTTGGAAAGTGGGAGCAGGAAGAGCATGAGTTCAAGGTCAGGCAGGACTGTAAAAAGCTGTGCAGTAGTGGTGTATCAAGTAAATCTCTGAGTTTGAGGCCAACCTGGTCTACAGAATGAGGTTCAGGACAGCCAGGACTACACAGAGAAACCCTGTCTCAACAAAACAAAACAAAAACCCTGCAAAACCAAACCTGGGCAAAGATACACATGCCTATAAGACCAGTGCTACAGGGGCAGATTTGGAGGGTGTACACAGTAAGCTCCAGACCAGCTAGGCTATAGAAGACAGTAAAATCCCAAATGAGAAAGAAGGAGAACTACAACACACAACACTGTAGATTTTATCATATTTAAACCATGTTGAAATTGTGTTGATGTATGTGTACAACATAGACATGCTACCATGTTTACACACACACACACACACACACACACACACACACACACACCCACACACAAAAAAAAAAAAAAAAAAAAAAAAATACCCAGAAGACTCTCCTGGAGCTGGAATTAGTTGCAGGTGAGTGTGAGACACTCTGTGGGCTCTGGGAACTGAACTGCAGCAGCACATGAACTTTTAGCCACAAGGCATCTCTCCGGCCCAATGCTTCTGTTTAAAAAATAAGTACCTACTCTTTTCTGCTTTGTGATGGTTAATGTCCTTCTGTATGCTGTGAATATGTTTCTCTTGTTGTTTAAAAAATAAAGCTGTTTTGGCCAATGGACAGGCAGGATTTAGCCAGGTGGGAAATCCAAACAGGGAGAGAAAAAAGGTAATATTCGGAGTAGAAGGTAGGGTGCCCAGGCATTCTCCAGTGAGATAAGGCCACGTGAGATACACAGGTTAATAGTTGTGGGTTAATAATTAAGAGAGAACTAGCCAGTAAGAAGCCTGAGCTATCAGCCAGCTTATAATTTATATAAGGCTCTGTGTGTTTATTTGGGACTAAATGGTTTCGGGACAGGGCTGGGACTCCAGCTCTTCCCCCCACCACACTCCCACTCCCACCCCCAAGTACATGCTGAGCACGGAAGATGAATCTCACTGAGTTCTTTTTTTTTTTTTCCTTTTGGTTTTTTGAGACTGTGTATCCCTGGCTGTCCTGGAACTCCCTCTGTGAGACCAGGCCGGCCTCGAAATCACAGAGATCCATCTGTCTTTGCCTCCCAAGTGCTGGAATTAAAAGTGTGTATCACCACTCCCTGGCTCTCAGTGAATTCTTAGCTAACCTGGTTTATATAGTGAGTTCTAGGACAGCCAGAGCTATATAAAGAGGTCCCATCTCAAGATGAATAAATAAAAATAATAGTTAAGCTCAGAATGGTTTCCTCCCAGATGATGACTGAGAAACTAATTAAAAAAAAAAAAAAAAAAAAAGGGGCCAAGAACCAAAAAAGAAAAAGAACTGTGCTGTCTTCTGGGATTTTGTTTTTTACTTTTTTGTTGCTGTTGTTTGTTTTTTTTGCTTTTGTTTGTTTTTTGTTTTTTTAAAATTGAGTGTGCTGGATGTCTCTACAATTTTGTTCAAAGGACTACAGAACCTGGAAAAGCTGTTGCTGCTATTGATGCATAACATATTGCCATTATTGCTCTTTTTATATAAATATAAATATATATATAAGCAAAAAAATTGTTAAAGAAAATAAAAGTTATATAAAACAAAAAAAAATAGTTACATAAGTTTAAATCAATCTTTCCAACAGTCAAAGCAATAGGAAAAACAAGTATTTGGGGTGGGGGTAGAAGCAGGGTCTCATGTAGCCCAGTTCTATCCTTGAACTCCAGATCCCCCTGCCTCAGCTTCCAGGATGCTGAATTGTAATAGTGTACTTCTATGTCAGCTTTTGCATGCTTTGGAAGAAATATGTATACCAGACTTTTCTTTCTGTCATTTTTGTTTGTTTTGAGATAGGGTTTCTCTGTGTAGCTTTGGAGCCTGTCCTGGCACTCGCTCTATAGACCAGGCTGGTCTCAAACTCAGAGAAATCCGCCTGCCTCTGCCTCCTAAGTGCATCTTTCTGTCATTTTTATATTATTTATATGTGTGTGCACGTATACTCCACGGCCCAGAGGATAATGTTCAAGAGTTAGTTCTCTTCCACCAGAGATCTACTTCAGGTCTCAGGCTTGGCAGCTGCCTTTATCCTCTGGACAATACCACTTGGCCTCTCTACTATCATTTTTTAAAAATATTTATTTATTATGTATACAGTATTCTGTCTGCATGCATGCCTGCATGCCAGACAAGGGCATCAGATCTCATTATAGATGGTTGTGAGCCACCATGTGGGTGCTGGGATTTGAACCCCGGTCCTTTGGAAGAGCAGCAAGTGCTCTTAACCACTGAGCCATCTCTCCAGTCCCAATTATTTATTTGTATTTTATGTGCATTGGTGTTTCCTGGTATGTTTGTGTGTTGGGTCCCCTGGAACAGGAGTTATAGACAACTGTGAGCTGCTATGGGGGTGCTGGGAATTGAACCCAGGTCCTCTGGAAGAGCAGTCAGTGCTCTTAACCTCTGAGCCATCTCTTCAGCCCTCTACTATCATTTTTAATAAAAACAACTTCATAGGCAATCTGACTCTATAGGGCATGGCATGGGAGGCCCAGAACCCTAGAAGGGCAAGGCACAGTCACAGAGTACGGGTAACAGACCTAATAGCCCAGTGGCTGCTAGAATATAAACTGGAGACCCACTGTGATTCAAACTTGACTCTTCCCCTACAGCAGCCCCACTGATGTTCTGGCAATGGAAATGACGGCCTCTCTCACTCCTAAAGGGTAATAACCATCTTAGCTACATGCAGTGTAAAGGAGCTTCAGGAGGGAGCATGGTCAAAGGAGGAGAAAATATTATTTCCTAATGTGGCTTTTCCTCACACACAAAGAAAGGGCAAGTGCTCTGAGAAGGACGGGAATGTGCCAGAAAGTGTTCTAAGGTAAACCAACATTTCATGGCTTTGCAAAGGGAACTTTTTTCTCTTTTCCACAGGGAGAGGTCCTCAAGTTAGACACCCCTAAATACAACCATGTCACCAGAGCTAACAGCGCAAACCCAGAGCTGGGAGATTGGTTCCTAGGCTTCCTAGGGTAGTTCTTCAGCACCGTGTAAGTTGCTTCCTTGAGTTTAAATAT